GGTTGGGTGCTGGAGTGTCCTAATAGCCGCCTGATTGTCTGTGAAGATGGCTACTTTGTTTCTTTCGTTACCTCTCTCTTGATCCTGGACCGCAATCTGGAGAGCTAGCTTGATGCCTTGAAGTTCTGCGGCGTATACTGTTGACGTTTCGCTATTTCCCATGTACGCCATCTTTGTACATCTAGTCAAAGGCGATACCGCGGCAGCCCCTATGTGATTATCTATGCCACTTCCATCTGTATAGATAAAGAGACTATTTGAGGGGTGCTTTAAGAAGTTCTTATGTTGTGTCTTTGCTATTTCTACATCTGATGCGATTGAAATGTTCGGTCCTCGCCACCATGGTGGTACGATATATGGTGGGATTGTCTCTTGTTCTGTAATTGTTGGGCCGCGACGTTGGTGGAGGCGTCTGTAAATGTGTCTAAGTGGACTTGTATATAGTCTCTGTCTCTCTTGATTTGGACTGTATGATCGGAACCCTTCCAGGGCTGGTATTTTGTCTGTGGCAAGGATTCTTCCAATCGTCTCGGTACTAGCCTTCCAGATCTGCTGTTCTATTGGGAGGAGGTATAGTTCTACGTCTAGGGCTGGACCTGATGTTGCTTTGTACGCCCCTCCTATGGTTCTGGCCGCTTTTGCTTGTAGCTTTTTGAGAGAATTGATTGTTTGTAGATCTATTCCTATCTGACCTGAATTTGGAAAAGGAGTACTGGTCACGGGATGTGGCTCAGTTGACAAGCAAGGTTAACCTTGTCCCAATCGGCGCGCCCACAGCGATAACAAAAACTTCTGGGTTGCGAAGTCGGCGCGGCACAGCTGGATACATCACCAGCGTACCTGCGTACCTGCGTACCAGTTGATTCTATACCGACCAGAGTTCTTTCGTTCTTTGCTTTTGTTCTGGTATCAATATATCAATCCAGGGACCGACTCAATTGAAGTCGCATCAACCTTCAAATCAATGCGCTCACAATGAACGAGCAAACCCCCAGGCTGAAATCGCCAGCGACTCCTCCCATTGAATTGGATGCGTCCTCCAAGATCATGGCCCGAACTCCCAAGAATCCTGAGCCATTATCTGGGGCCAAAGTATGGAATACGAAGAATATCGGTCTGCGACTAGGCGCCGACTTCTTTTCTGGTTTTACAGCTGCGACAATGGTTGCTCCAATTATCGCAATGATTGATAAGTAAGTCACATATATACTCCTCCTACCCAACTTCTACCAGGGCGCATACTAATAGATCGCAGAGGAATCATGCAAAATGCCTCTGGTCAAGCACAGCTCAAAGACTCCCTCAAAGAATCCATCAAGACCTTCCTCACCAAGCCTCACAATCTCGTTTTCTCGAAGCCATTTGGACTTATTTGCTTATTATACGGTGGTACATACGCAACAGCCAACTCCCTCGACACAATCACCTCGATGGTACAAAACAAACCCTCGACACTTGTCACATCCGGCACGCTCAAGTTTGCTGCCTCCTCGACGACCAACATCGGCCTCTGTCTTTTCAAGGACCAGGCATTTACAAAACTTTATGGAGCACAAGGGCCGATTAGACCTGTACCCCTACCTTCTTACGTGCTTTTCACGCTCCGTGATTGCTTGACTATCTTTGCGTCATTCAACATCCCACCACTCCTTGGACCCGTTGTCAGCCGAAATATGAGCATTGAGTTGGAAAAGAGAGTTAGTGGACAAACGATTGCGCAATTCGTTGCACCGGCCGCTGTACAAATTCTCAGCACGCCAATGCATTTGCTCGGCTTGGATCTATACAATAGAGGCGCAAAGACAATTACGTGGTATGATCGATGGACAATTGTGAAGAAGAACTGGGCTGTTAGTGCTGCTGCGCGCATATGTCGTATCGTGCCAGCTTTTGGAGTTGGAGGGGTGGTCAATGCCAAGTGCCGGAGGACATTGATTGAGAAACTGGACTAGGGGGCGCTGATATGACTTTTTTCCCTTTTTTCCTTAGCGAGAAAAAGATGTGAGATGCGATACAGTTAGAATTCGCAGCCCTTGCTTGTTAGTTCGACAGGCATCATGTATTCTGGTTGCGTATAGCGCATAGATGGATATACACTGAGGCTATCTACGCATTCTGGAGTTACGAGATCAACACAGGGGATATATGGATGGGCGTTTGGGAAGAGAAAAAAAGCTTTCTATTGATGTAATGATTAATTAGGGACTGATTTCATGTGTTGGAATTAGAAAATTCGGGTATGAAACCAACCATTCCACATCCCCCATTTTCATCTCAAGTGACTGGTTAGATTTCCTGTTATCGCTTATTGTAGGTACTTACAATCTCTCTTTCAGCAACTGATGTTCAAGTTAAATAACTGGATTGACCTACCTTGTAAAGTAAGTGCCATGCGTTGAAACCCCCACCTGCTATGAAACAGACTACTTCATACCTGCACTCTCCATCACCTTAATATATTGTTCACAGTGGCATAAACTTCCTTTCCATGTCTGCTTTTAAATATTAATATAGAAAAGTATCATTGTCTGAAGGTCTTTAGTTTACTATTCTCCTTTCTTCTCAAATCTTTCGGGTAAGTAGGTATATAATATAATTCTATAAATGTATTAGCAACACAACAATATAGGCAAACCAAAGAGGCTCTAGTAGGTTTTTGTATCATATGATTTACAGATTCTAGGACAAAAAGGTCTTAATTCTTTAAAAGTATAATTAATCTATATCTTTATTTATATATTAAGTAAGTGCTAAAAGAAGAAGAGATATACAAAAGATTATAGCTGGATTCTAACAAAAGGTTAATAGAAGTAAATTAGCTAATAATTTTGCAAAATATATATATCTTTAAAAAAAACATTAAACTGATAATAGGGGGTACACATGCTCTAAAGATAAACAAAGCTACAAATCATGTTTTCTTTGTTGGGGCATGGATGATTCAAATACGAAAAAGAAATCTTGGGACGTTTTCTGAAATCATGGAAAGAATAGCCGAAATTAGATAAGAGATGAGAATGTCTAATCTTAACTAGTGTTTCATCACAACAGAGACTTGTGCCAAAGCCCCACCGCCGTTCTATGAGTTCCAACTTTATATTGCGAGTCTCTATTACTGTTCCTGAAAGGTCGCTGAAGTTCATGAGGGTGGCATATTTGTTGGAATAGGGATGGTAAGATAAAGAAGTGAAGTGATAAAGCAAGGTGGGTAACATGGAATCTTGTTGGCTACTTGAAAGAGAGATGAAGATATAAGACGAATGACTATCTTATATCAACCACATAGTCTATGACTCTACTGGTATTAAGCTCTTGGATTACGCCAAGCCTTTTTGAGGGCAGGAGGCCTTGACAATGAAAAGTTTATATGACATCTAGCATCCATGAACAATATGTTAAATTCAGCTTGACTATAATGAAATAAGCACCTATAAAACTGGTATATATAGTGTATCTGACTTGTATTGTAGAGCAAAACAATATTACAATACCACCTCGCTAAACCACATCTTTCTCTCTTCTCGCTTAAGTACTATACAATAGAAACTTGAAACACAAAAAGGCTCACACTGCCCTAAACGTGCCCTGTATACACTACCCCACACTACAAATGAACAGCAAGATGAGACGAAGCACCAGCTACCCCACCCACATAGCTCTCCACAATACCAACGACTCCTGAGCAAAATTCACCACGTTGACGCAGACACCTATTGCTCACAGGTCAAAGCAACCCTGCGTTCTTTCAAATAATGAGTATTACTCCCACATTCTTCCCCAAAACTTCTTCTGAACCAAATTTTCGCCTTCTTGAAAAATAGGAGAAAAAGGTCTCTACTACATCTGGACTTTACCTGGATTACACCTCGACAACCCCATCATACCTAACTCATCCTCCATCAAAACAAACCAAAGACCTCTACAGAAGAAGATTCCGACTTCACTTCTCATCCCCAAAACCTCTACATCCCAACCTCCAACCTTCCCATCCCAACCCACCATCCCATCAAAAAGCATGTCCACCCCAAACCCAACCAAGAACGCCACCACCCTTCAACGCAACAAAAACCGCACCCGAAACTGCGGCGGAGACCCGTACCACAAATGGCGTCCGCAACATATCCAATGGATGATCGACGGCCACACGCGGTTCCAGAACTGGGATGATGTGAATGAGTATATGAACGGCAAGTCGCGTCGACGTGGGGAGGGGGAGCCGTTCAAGACGGCGATGGTGAAGGCTTACTGGCGGTTCTTGCGGAAGAAGCAGGAGAAGGAGGAGGAGGCTGCTGCTAATGGTGCTACTGGTGATGGTGGTAGTAAGAATGAGGATGAGGACGAGGACGAGGATGAGGGAGAGGGAAATAGTGAGGGGGAGATGGGAATGTCTTTTCGAGGTGGTAGGAATGGCGGAGAGGGGGGTGAAAGAGGTGGGTATAAGGAGGGAAATGCAAGAACTGGACAAGGAAGCGAGGGTGTTTTTGGCAAGGTCCCGGAGAGAAGAATGGTAAGTGTCTCTTTACGTAGAAGAAGACTTGGAAGTTGACAAAGAATCCAAGGATCTAGATGCTGCGTTCACACGCAACAACATTGCCGGACGACAGAAGGAGCAACGATACGAAGAGCCACGAAACGAACAGCAAGGAAACTTTGTATACCGAAAGGGCATGACTTGGAGACCTGGAATGACATGGAACGGCTCCCTGATCTCGGAGGAGGATTTCCAGGCTGCGGAGATTTTGTTGAGTATGAGCATGAGTGGCGCATAGATGGAGATATTACATCGAGGGTATTATGGAAGTGGATTTTATGGTTTAGCGTGGAGTTTGGCGAACTGGGTAGTCTCTTTTTTTTTTCCCTCCCCAAGTCTTGAGTATTTGGGGTTTTTTTCATACAAAGATTTTCCATAGGGGCTTCATTATGAAACTGCGATGAATTCTTCATGAAAACCACAATAGGCTCAACCGTGAATTCTTGGTACTGACCATTCATGAAGTGGGTTATCTTCTGGCATTAACAAAGAGGATCAGATGTCTTCTTTCTCTCCTGAAAGCAGGCAATTTCATCATTCGTGAATGTTATAAACCGACAGACTGTTGTTACTCAATGTGGCACAAGTCTCGCTTATTGAGTATAACAACACAAACACTCCACTACCACCCACATCTCCTTCACATACATCGTCATAATCATCACTCCTTATTTGATACCCCAACCCATTCTCACTTGTTCAAGTTTCAATACAGCACATTCCCTCCATATCATAAACACCCATCAAACACCACACCACCATGTCCCTAACCTACAACCCATCCACATCCCCCTTCCGCAACCCCGTCATAATCTGGCACCCCAATCGAAAAAAATGACTCGTGGACGGGCTCTGGCGTCTTCGCGCTCAACAGAATGGCTGGAGCTGGGGCGATGTAACAAAATACATGAACTACAAGGCCAAGCAACAGGGTGAGCGCCCCGTGTTTTTTGAGAGTAAGGTGAAGAATTATGCGTTTGCGAATGAGAGTACGGTTTTGAAGAAGCTGAAGCCGAGTCCAGAGGCGACGGAGGGGTTTTGTACTGCCGAGGGGAAGTATAGAGAGCCTGAGGGGGGTTGCAAAGTTGGGGTTGCGGGGAGGGAGAAGAAGATGAAGGAGAGGAGGAAGCAGCAGGAATGGAAGGAGGGAGATGAGGAGCGGAAGAAGGAGAAGGGAAAAGGCAAAGAGAAGGAAAAGAAGGGGGACGAAGAACAGAGAACTGATTTCCTTCGGGTGATTCAAGGGACCCAGCGAAGCCAACAAAGTCTGCTTCGGAGGGCTGAGAATCTTGGGCAGGCCCAAACACCTCAGCGAATCCCTCAAATCAAAATCAACGGACTGGAACAATTTGAACACCCGGAGCAAGTCCAAGGAACCCAACCAAGCCAACAAAGCCCAAAGCAGGCGGTTAAGCGAGTAGCACCAACCGGCCACATCCAAAAACCCCATCGAGTTCAAGCCCACCACTCAACATCCTCGCACCCAGTGACTCAGCCGAGACCCGCTCAGCCGCAGCGAAGCCACCAAATCCCATCGCCGAGGCGGATGGGGGAAACTTATCAAGGCCAGCAGATGCACCAGCTCCAGCAAGTCCAACGGGGATTCGAACAAACGCTGCCTTTCTCGCCAGCACACGTTCCAGGCCAGGGAGTCCAATATATAGCGCAACAAGCCCAGATCTCCCACACGCCTGTGAATTCCCCAGTTCCTCGGCCACAACAGCAACAGCAGTTCTTTTCCCCTTCGTCGGCAGCAAGGCGAGGACATATTCGCTATCCAACGCGCTACGGAACCGCAGGAGACCCGGCCTTGCAAGTTGTCCGGAATTTCCAGAATTTGCAGGATCGTAAGGATACTGGTGGAGAATGAGAGATCGAGGATGTGTGGTGGTCAGTATGGTGTGTGGGTGATGATGCTACAGGTCAGGTCGCTGGTAGACCTGACTCTTGATGATTTCGCACAAAAAGCCACAGAACAAAAAAACAAGAAAAAAACAACGGACTTTTTGAATTTATAGATGAAGTGTATGTCGGATGAATGGTTGAACGAATGGGGTCGTTGTGTTTCTTTTTTATCATTGAGTAATTTGGTATTATTTATTTGTTTGTTAGTTAGTTAGTCATTGCGTTTTGAATGTAAACACAGTAATTTAGTTTAGTTTAGTTTAGTATAATAGAGTCTGTGAATCTTGAACTGTATAGAGATGGAGTTGTGAATGTTAGTATTGACAGGGTTGAATTAGATTATGGATATGAGAGCAACTTCTTGGGGAGGTGGTGAGTTACTAGAATACAATCAAGTGACCAAGATGGAAGAGGGAGGTAATCTTACGAGAGATATAGCTACGGGAATGAAGAAGATAGAGGTACGAGTAGAGCATGCGTGTAGGCGGTATATACTTAGGTAGATGGAGAGGTGTAATCTTATTTGTGATCAAGATGACTGGCTGCTCAGACTGGCAGGTGATTGAGGACTATTCCTGATTGTAATCATGACGATGACCGAGTTTGGACGGCTTACTTTCTCTTATTGTGATGTTAGGGATGCTGAAGAATCATTGGAGGTTTGAATGGATTCTTGAGGATGAGAGAACATAGATTTGCCCGCTCCATGTTTTAAGTATTTGAGGGGTCAACAAAGGGGGCAACAAGGGGTGTTTGATGATGGGCTTTTCTGTTAGTACTTAACGCAGGAGAAATAGAATCTGTATGTATGTGGGTTGATCAAGTTGCCTTGATAGAAATACTTCAAGGAAAATCCACATATTCGTTGCGAATGCCAGGTATGTGACATGGGCACATTTCGTTATTACAGTACTCGTACGTGTAAGAACTCGCAAAGAGAGCCTTCAGTCGCATTTCCTCCCTGTACCCAACCCCTCAAACGCCTGATATAAAATGGCATATAATCATTCCAGTGCTTAAAAAGCGGGTATCGCAATCTCCATCGGGTCTCTCGCAGTCTCCCAAGCCAACCAATCTGATTGTGTAGTCCTATAGTACATTAGCATGTGTATCAAATCATCAGAATAACTCCCCAAAAACAAAACTCACGGTAAAAGTCCCATCCCATTAACCTTCCACACTCCCAAAGCCAGAGCCAAAATCTGCATGGCAACATACGTAGCCTTGACAGCCAACAAACTTGCGCTTGTCCCTGGACTATTAAACTTCTCAAATGCCTGATTTGTTGCCATCAATCCCATCAGCGGGTTCTTGAAGGCCATCACCACCATCATGATACTGAACATTTGCAAAGAGTTTCCGGACATGTACATCATGATTGCGGTCATGGGCAGCTGTTTGACGGGTGCTAGGGCGACTTCCCAGGCTTTCTTGAGCTTGAGGGTGTCCATTTCTTCGGTGGTTGGGGCGGTTCGAGCCGGGGTTTGGGTTTTGGAGGAGGCGATTTGCTTCTGCGGATAAGTTAGCATGTACTTAGTGATGGTTTGCAGATTGCAGTCACATACCTTGTTTCCTGAAGATGCTGCTGTATATCCTGGAGGATCCGGAATGGTTAACTTGGACCGTGATACTGGAGGCGAGTTGAGTTCCTCCACCCATTGCGATGGTGGCGGTGGTGGGGACATATTTTCGCAGGTGATGGGCTTTGGCTGCAGAATGGCCAAACACAATTGTCCTACTAATCCTAGAGTGCCGAGTACCTCGTTCGTGATGTTGGGATGATGGTGTTGTGAGATGTGGTTGGAAGTGGCTCCTTAGCGGTCCCGTTGCCCAGGACAAGGCCTATGAGAGGCAACGCAATGCCTGTGCTGTGCTGTGCTGCAGTTGTGTGGACCTCGAGCCCGATTCGCACTCGCAAGAGACCTCGACGACCAACCTCATGCGACTGACCTGCCACCAATTTCGGAATCTCTGCTAGACCACCCTTCCCAGGACTTCATGGCGACATATCTACACACGAGACGACAATTGCGCTGGCGTTCGACTGTTTGCGCGTGATTGGGTTTGCGAGTGCATGTAACTGCAGAATCGAGAAGCAGGAAGCCTCGTCCCAGTTGGCTGGAGAGAGCAGTGGAGGGGTAACCACAATACATGAGACTGGGCAACATCAGACGGGAGGCAGATACGTATCCTGATACGGAATATTGAGTACTGAGCTGAGGACATCATGAGTTTAGGCGGAGGAGACGCGAAGCTCTTTGCGAGGGTACGTTCGATTTCACGATATTGCTTCTATTCCACCACCATCATTTACTACACCGAGCACAAACATCGTTAGCAACATAGGGCAGCATTCACTCCCACCACTGCCATGTTCATATCATACCGCACCCTGTCTGATCATTGATATCATTCCTCCCTCCCATCCTCCAACGCAGACAAACCCCCAAAGGTCTATGCGGTCCTACGCGAGGGCATGGCCTCTCCATGATGTTCCTCCCCCATTATATTCCGCCGCAGGGCGTTGCTGGCCTTCGCTCACCATATTTTCAAACTCCACAGGGCAAAGTAGCAGAGCTTCGACTTGAGTTGAATAGCGGAGGCAAGAAAGACAAGAACCATGCCGCCAAAAAGATAGCCTTGAAGAAGATTGTGGCCAATATGACCATGAGCAATAATGATATGGTTGCGCTATTTCCCGATATTGTTGCTTGCATGCAGATTCCCAGTTTAGAAATCAAGAAGATGTGAGATACTCCTTTGGTGCTTGAGAATGTTTACTAACTGGATCTAGGTGCTTCCTCTTTCTTGTGAACTATGCTCGCATGAAACCCGATGTCGCCTTAAAGGCACTTCCAACACTCCAAGAGGTATGTGGAGGGGAATTCCCGAGGTAGTTCCATAGCTCATGCTGCTTAGGATATGCACGATTCAAATCCGTTAGTAAGGGCTCTGGCATTGCGTACCATGTCATATATCCATGTGAGAGAGTTTGTGGAGGCCACCGTCCCGCCAACAAAGCAACTTCTTCGAGACTCTGATCCATATGTTCGAAAGACGGCGGCATTTTGTGTGGCCAAACTATATGACCACGACAGACACCTGGTCGAAAACTCAGACCTCATCGACAGGTTGAACGCCATGCTGAGAGATGACAACCCGACTGTAGTGGCAAGTGCTCTCGCAGCTTTGATGGATATCTGGGAAAGAAGTGATGCTATCAAATTGACTATTGACTATGGCAATGCTTCGAAAATGGTCCAGATTCTCCCAGATTGTTCCGAGTAAGTCCGATGCTCGTACCCCAACCAAACACGTGCTAATCCAATTGTAGGTGGGGTCAAACTTATATTTTAGAAGCCTTGATGTCTTATGTACCTCAAGAATCCTCCGAAGCTCTACTTCTCGCAGAGCGAATATCCCCACGTTTATCACACTCAAATTCTGCAGTTGTACTCACTTGCATACGAGTGATCCTTTACTTGATGAATTACATCCCAGATGAAAGGCAGATATCACTGTTATGTCGAAAACTTTCTCCGCCCTTGGTGACATTACTTGCGAAAGGCCCAGAAGTCCAATATTTGGCACTCCGAAATGCCCTTTTAATTCTACAAAGACGACCCGAAGTTCTACGGAATGATATTCGAGTATTCTTTTGCAAATATAATGATCCAATCTACGTCAAGGTGACCAAACTAGAGTTGATTTTTATGCTGGCTACGGAACACAATATTCAGGAAGTTTTGACAGAACTCCGAGAATATGCGACCGAAATTGACGTCCACTTTGTACGAAAATCTGTCAGAGCGATTGGAAAGCTGGCCATCAAAATTGAACCAGCCGCACGACAATGTATAAACACGTTACTTGAGTTGGTGGCTACCAAAGTCACATACATCGTTCAGGAAGCAACAGTGGTCATCCGAAATATTTTCCGAAAATACCCAAATCAATACGAATCAATCATCTCAACTCTATGCGAGAACCTTGACTCTTTGGATGAACCAGAAGCCAAGGCGGCCATGATCTGGGTCATTGGACAATACGCATCTCGAATCGAGAATTCGGATGTTCTTCTTGAGGACTTTCTTTACTCTTTCGCAGATGAACCGGTTGAGGTTCAACTTGCACTACTCACAGCTACAGTAAAGCTGTTTATTCAGAGACCTACCAAAGGCCAAGAACTTGTACCAAAAGTTTTGAAGTGGGCAACCGAGGATACGGACAACCCAGATTTGAGAGATAGAGGATACATGTATTGGCGTCTTTTATCCTCAGATATGGCAACGGCAAAGGCAGTTGTGATGGGCGAGAAACCAGCAATTACAGCCGAATCTGAGAAATTGGATCCGGTCACACTAGAAGAGATGTGCTTGAACGTTGGAACTCTCGCAACAGTCTACCTCAAACCAGTGCAACAAGTTTTCCGCTCTGCACGACCTCGAAAGCTGATCGACAGCCCAGCTTTACAAAAACATGCTCTACCTACAGCAAATGGTCTTGATGGACAAAAGTCTCTATCTACCTTTGGAATGGAGGGTCAACCTGCTGTTCGACCTCCTCAGGATGGTAATTTGGCTGCGGCGGTTGATGCCGCGGATGAATTCTTTGCGGGTGTCGGCAATCAGCAGATGTCCAATATGACCGTTGATGATGGGTTTGGAGGTAGTCCAACCGTGGGAAGGGGAGAGATGCAATATGTGGTGAATCAGAATGCGCCGGAGCAAAATTACTATCCTACGAATGGACAGGGTGCTAATGGGGATTTGTTGATGTTGTAGGATAGGTATATCGGAATGGAATTGAACAGAAGGGGTTTGATTGTATATCTTCTTTTCTTTATTTCTTGGTTAGTGGTACAGTAGGTAGGAATGTAATGGTTATTTTTTAATCTTTGTCTCCTGTGTGTCAACGTGGTCAAAAAATACTCCAACGTCTTGATCTCGCATGGTTGAAATATTTAATCCATACAGCACATATGAACCTCCTTTTTCTATTCGTTACTTTAATATCACATGCTGGCAGTGGAGCGATGTCCATAATCGATTCCGTGTCCAGATCCTAGTGCAAGTTTACTTTTTGTGTCTGTACATGGCGATCCTTGAAAATTTGGGTGGTGAGTAGTGGTTTTCTTCGTGATGAATTGTTATTGTTTTTTTGGTTGAGTATCGAGTGTCTACTGGTTCGTGTGGGTTTGGAGGATTGTATTAGAGGAAAGTAGTTGTTATGGATTGATGGAGTTCTTGTAGATTTTCGGGGTATGGTTGTGTTTGTGTTTGGATTTGGGGATTTGGTACGGAAGGGGTATGTGGGTCTTATGGAGAGAGGAGAGCGAAGAGAAGGTAGAAGAGAAGAGGGAAAATAAGAGAGAGTAGGTAAATTTACTGTTGTAGACAATTGTTGTTGGGTTTGTGGAGGGTGGTATGAAGTTATATTAGTGTACCAACGAGTCAACGACTTCTACGAAGTAAATTTAGGGTCATGACTTGATTTTGTGCTAGAGTTTAAGAGTTGTTGTGTGGATAGGTACGATACGGTATGGATGGTTCTTATTGGTTTTTGTGGAGGTGTGGAGCTCACCAACCTCTTCTCTCTCTCTTCCCTCAAGGTTCATGCCTTGATTCTTGTGCCAGAGTTCATGAGTCGAACTTGCTGTGTGGGTAATTTATTGTGCAGTTATCCATATTCAGTCAGTTGCCGCTGCGTATTCCCGTGGTGGCAATACGGTCATGATCGAAGCCATGATAAACTAAACTCGGGGACCCCATTGCTTGGTATCAATGCAAGGCGATTTTGGCTTTATGCAGGCTTTATGGACGGATCAGCCCGAAAGCTTGGCTTTATGAAAAGAACGCCGGAAGATTCTCAGAGGTTCGCGAAGAACTTATTTTTGGTATCTTAATGTGGGGAAGCTTGTGTCAACTGGCTTGACCAAGCCTGTTGATGTGCCAAGTCATGGCAGTGATGGGCAAAAATGGTTTAGGGACTGCTGTTTTTGAAACGTCCTAAGAATTGCCAATGGAGAGAGGGCGGATAAACCGAGTTCATGGAAGGGGATTTTGAGAGGGAGGATTTGTTATATATTGGAGTGTTTGCCCGTGGGATAGATCTTATTTTTTCTCCATCATCCAGCATCACATCTTCTTGACGAACTTTCTTCGCTTCTGCTTCTCTGCTTTTGGTTTTTTGTTTTTCCACGAGTTTCTTTTGCGAGTTCCACTGCTTTTTATCAAAATCACCTCAAAATCAAACGTTCGCTACCCCGTTCATTGTCTCAAGAACCACCATCAAAATGTACCTCCTCAACCTCCCAACCGCCCTCATCCTCCTCAGATTTCTCCTCTCCGCCACGGCCTCACCAGTCCCTTCGAAAACAACCTCCAACGGTCCTCAACGCCGCGACTCCACATGGGGCAGGGAAGGAAGATTCCCCGAGACAGATCCCAACATCAACTGGTGCAAACCAGCAAAAGCAACACCCACCCCGGTGCCATCCTTCGAATACGAGCCGGACGTCATAATCCCCATCCCCAAGACGGAAACTGGGACTCCAGCCAATGATACTATCGCGTACCCCGACGAGCCGTACCAGAAGAGAGACTCGGATCCCATCGTGCCTGCAGAGGAGCCTTGTGTGCCGTTGCCAAAAGAAGAGCCGCATGATCCCAACTTTCACCGTTCGGTCGATGAGCCGGAGCCCGAGGAGCAGATTTCACGACCATTTTATTGATCGTTGCGAGTACGTTTTTATTTCCCGAAGCACTGGGTTGATCTTGAATGGAGGGAATGCTGACTTTGGAGTAGGAGTTGAGAGATGCTTTATGCTATGATTGAAATGGATGAAATACTTGGATGTTTATGATGTTTTGATATTTTTTGGGTTTCTTTTTTGGGACTTGCTTTTTACTTTCTCAATTTCAATTCTTTCCGGGGTTTTACACTCCTTTTTGGCGCTTCTTTTGCCGCTTCTTTTGACAGTTCAACTTTTTCGGCTCTTTGCCCTTCTTCAACTTCTTCATTTTTCAACTTCCGGCTCTTCGGCACTTCAACTTCTTTACTTTTTTGGCCCCTTGGCATTTCGAACACTTCGACTTTTTCGCCCCTTGGCATTTTCAACTTCTTCAACTTTTACTCTTCGGCTTTTCGACCTCTTCACCTTATTCAATCTTCGATTTCTTCAGCCCTTTGGCGTCTTCAACTTCTTACTTCCTTGACTTTCAACTTCTTCAACTTTATACCACTTTTGCCCTTCGATTTCTACCTTTGCCCTTCGATTTCTACCTTTCAGCTCTTTGGCGCTTTTAACCTTTGACTTCTTTACCTTTCGACCTTCAACTTTTACACTTTTGGACACTTCAACTTCTGCCAGTTTCTCGGCTTTTTCAACTTCTACCTCTTTACCTTTTTAAGACTTCTGGGCACTTTTCTACCTTTCAGCCTCTTCAACTTTTACACTTCGAACTTTACAACTTCTGGGCACCTTTTCTACCTTGCAGCCTCTTCAACTTTTACCTTTTCAACTTTCTACACTTCGATTTCAAAATTCTAGGCACCTTTTCTACCTTGCAGCCTCTTCAACTTTTACCTTTTCAACTTTCTACACTTCGATTTCAAAATTCTAGGCACCTTTTCTACCTTGCAGCCTCTTCAACTTTTACACTTTGAACTTTTGAACTTCTGGGCACCTTTTCTACCTTTCAGCCTTCAACTTTTACCTTTCTACGACTTCTGGGCACCTCTTCTACTTTTCAGCCTCTTCAACTTTTTACATTTTCACCATTACATCTTCTTCACTTCATCTTCACCCTCTTTCATCAACTTCACACCATCATTACACAAACAGAGCAACTCAAGGCGTTCACATAGACCAGGGAGGGCGTTTCTATAGACGTAGACGAGAACGGGATATAAAAGGATTATATAGACGGGCGGATACATCATGTATACATGTTCAGATACTTGGAAATAGAAATACGAATTTACTTATAAATATTTGATTTTCGGATGATTTGGTGGTAATGTGAGGATTCTTGTGTGATATGAGTACAGTGGTTGTGTATATAAATAGTAGCTAAGGTACGTCTATAGGGGTTCTATTCTATAGAACAGATTCTCATAAATATAGTAAATGAATTATTATAATAGTACCTCTATATATCGCACCTCTAGATATCTAATTCGTACCTATCCGCTATAATATCTAGCTAGGTAGGTATGTACACGCTTTTCTATCTATAAAGTACTTACAATAATTTCCTTATTCTTCTCAAATCCTACTCTCTAATCATTTCGAAAGGCTACCTCTAGAATTCCAGAACTTTTTGAATAGAATTACAGACCTAAGTCAAAAGAAGTAATTCTTCTTTTTAGTAGAATAATAACTTGGAAAGATTCTAGAGGGAATAGAATTTTAAGATTCCACGGATTCGAATTCTATGCCGACCTTAGGCCATTTTTCAAGCCCTAATAAAGAATATTACAATAGCCACCTAAATCAAGCACAAAAATAAGGACTCCCTCTTAACATAACATTATAAATGTGTAAACACGTGCGTCAACATCCATCCATCACTTTCAAACCCCACCCCTTCCCCCTTAATCCCCCCACCCTCCTCTCACTCACCCCCTATTCAAATTAACCGAGCTATATACCAGGTTCTTCCTTGGACTCCTGGGATACATCCCCCTCCTCACCTTGGATTTTCGATGTAAGTACGTTTGTGTGAGGTAGAAGGCGTGGATGTGGGCTGGGATGACTGCGAGGAGGAGGAGGACTGGTGGTTTCCAATGATAATTTATTAGATTTGACATATGTGGGAAGGGGACCGGGGGGGTTCTGGTGGATGGGAAGGGGAAGGGAGAGGAAGGGAAAGGAGAGAGAAGGAAGAAATCCTTGTCCGGTTCCCGGGTTACGAAGAGGGTTGTCAGGGGTAGGAAGAAGAGATTTATTAGGAGGAGTTTGATGCGTTCGCCTGCTCCCATTCTTTTTCTTTTTGCTGGTGGATGGGTTCGGTTCGGTTAGTTGGTCGTACGAGGTAAGTGGGGTCTGTTTGAAGGGAGTGAAATGAAGTGATTAGGATGCTAGCTAGCTCGTTGGTGATTGAGATGGAGAGCTTAAGAAGTTAAGATGGTTTGGTTTGGTTGAGTATGTACAGTAGGTTCTTCTTCTAGGAGGGCTATTAGGTATTGGGAGTTGCTGTTATAATAATCGTCGTCTTGTAAGTTTATAGATATTTAGAATCTAGGAGTTTGGAAATTTAGAGGTTGAAGAAATTATACTCGCGAGTTATCAGGGACTGCGAGTTTGCAGCTTGTTATATTATATTTACAACATCATAGGTCGTAGCCATGCCATTCCATGTACGTCACTCACAACCTAGACATACCGTACCTATGACTGTGGAGTTATTTACTGTACTGTATCGTACCCTACCCTACGACTGTATTTCCTAACTTAGGTTGGTGAGTTCGAGATCGGGAGTTATTATCCCATCATTCATCAATCAGAATTTCAGATGCTGCGGGAAGACTACCTTTTCGTATGCATTATTTGTTGACTTGGAGGCACGATAACGATATTATAGCGAGAACCTTGGTTTTCTTACCTACCGTACAAGGGTTTTTAGAATGTACTACGAGTGTTCAAGGCTAGGCTAGGTAATTAAGGGAACGGATAGATTACACCTTCCTTCTTTCCTCCCTCTAATACAAATAGCAACTCCCTTCCTTTTTTCCAACATAACAATAAATCCATACCCAATGTAATCTTCAATTCCAACTAGCTAGCAATTTATGTAATATACATCTATATTCATCCCACATCATACTATATTTCTACGGGTGGTCTAAGAAGATAACTTCCTACCTACTCATAGTCAGCGTATTAACAAAACTAATCAAATACTCAACTCTACTCGAGTAGTACTTGAGTTGAGTTGAATGAGTATGATTAGGTGATTCCGTTGAGTTGAGTTGAGTAGTAGATTTGACTATTCGAGTAGTACTCGAGTAGTTATATATAACGTGACTATAATATAAGAAACTTATATTAAAAAGTAAGCTTATATAGTAAATACGTTAGTAGGCGCTAGTAGCCTAGGCACTAGAAAATGTATTTAGTACTTCGAGTCTCTAGACTTTCTTTTCTAGCTTGTTCGACTAAATACTGCACTTCTATAACTACAACTTTAATAACTTGTCCTTTAAATAGCCACGTGCTAGCACATGCTTAATACAGGGGCTCTCGGCTAAGTCTAGGTGCGTGGACCGCCCGCCCGGAGTCCGGCTAGCGAGCCGGGCGCGCTACGGGGTGTCGGGCCGACACTACTCGAGTAACTCATGAGTTAATCGAGTACTTGGCGAGTTGAGTTGAATAGCGATTTTCACTACTCGAGTTGAGTTGATTAGGTGCCACTACTCAACTCAACTACTCGAATTTAATACGCTGCTCATAGTTTCCACGAAATGGTGGGATGAAGTATCGTGGATTCCAGGTGCACATGTGATTCTCGAACCCATTTACTAGTTGAGCATGTATGTAGTGAGAGTTCCGCGGTGTATTATATCATGATTGATTATGTTTGTGGTGGGGAATGTCTTACTATACTACTACTCTAGTACTTTCTGAATGGATGGATGGATGGAATTTTATTCTTGTAGTTCTACGGTACTACTACTTCGAAATGACGTTGTTGCTGGTGGAGTGACGGTTCTTGGAGGAGTTTACTTCATGATACTTCATAAGGAAACAAACACTCACATGTATCAAATCTCATGTTTAGACGTACAGATATACAGTCGAAAAACATTATCTTTATTATCAGTTATACGGAGTACTCCTCTGTATAATATTGATGCAAGTTCGAGACTGGGACCCTCGAGGAAAACCACCCAATGCGAATACGAAAAAACGCCTGGATAGCCAAAACACCATGCACCACAAAGCTTTTCCCCAAATGCCCACAGTATTCACAACCCAAACATGGCCCCCATTGCTGCCGCAAAAGAAAAACCCCATGACTTATTTCGCCTTCCCATCATAAAGTCATGTGCGCAAAAGGTCCAGCCAACAACGCCCGAAAAGATTAGCAAGAGTCGCCGGATATGCAGAAAAAGGGGGGTATAAACAAGGAGTCGACTTCGAAATTTCCGACCAGATGCAAACAATGAAGTAAGCCACTGCGTTTCGCCGTCAGGTTATTCGATGCGTGAAACAAGAACGAGTACCATCGATGAATCAATCCATGACCCTACTCGCTTGACTTTTGGTCGAAGACAAGTGGGGACAACCAAAAAATCCAAAGATAACAAGGTACCTGAACCACAACAACCGTATCATCAACGATCCCTATCTTGCCAACTGACAGGAGGATGAGGTAGAGGAAACAGATGAAATAGATCCGAAAAGGAGCTACATAGATCGTAGGTTGCAAAAACAGCAGTTGTCTTAAACGAAAACTGGTTAGATTTGTCCTTTGATGTCGACTTTTCGGAATGCTTGGGCTCTTGCGGCTTCGAATAATTGACCTGCCTTGCCAGTGAGGAATCGTAAACCATCTTCCTTCTCCTCGAGGAGGGCTTGGCCTTGGTAATCATAAATGAATTGCGCAGCGTCCCCATCAGATTCAAAACCAAGCTCTTCAGTAACATATCTTAACGGGACATCTGGCTTGAATCTGTAAATGAATTAGTGACATGTTTGAGGATGAAGATTAAGAAGATACATACGCCTTACACATATTTGCAAGTGCCGCTAGACGTTCTCGGACGACAAACATATCCATGAGATAAGCACCCATGTTAGGAGTGTCGAGATAAAGTCTGAAAAATCTGTGGTAGTTGCCCAAGGCTAATGCGGAACGAACATCAAGGGCATGCTTAATGGCCTTTTCTTTTTTCTCTGCTGTGGTTAGATCCGCCAAAACGTCATTCAACGCAGTGCGGTTAGAAGTATGAATGAAATATAAGATACGATACGCCTTGAACTCGAATGGCTTGCCTCCTAGATTTTGTGCGTATAGGGCTTTCAGTTGGGTCTGGCATTGATTATACTCACCAAGATCACCCTTTTCCAAGGCGATCCGGGCATGGATTTCGTAAACGGTGACCGTGAACTCGTTCTTGATACGTTGGACGGTTAAATCTTGACGCATGGACTTGAACTGATCGCAGATGTACGAGTAGTTGCCCTCCTTCTTCCACTTCTTCTTCAATAGGTCAAGGGTTTGTCTAAGGATTGCCTCGGGGCGCACTTGTGATGGGATGGGAGGAGCAGTCAAACGAAAGTATTGCTTCTCAAGGGTTTGAGAAGTTCCGACTACGGGTCCGGAGGAAGGTTCTGATGCATAGTTTGGGGCCTGGTATGTAGATTTATAGCCACCATCGAATCGACGTTGTCGCTTCTCAAGGTTCTTCTGGAACTTACTTGTGCCCTTGAGAGAATCGTCTGGGAGGTGTTGTCGCTTCTCTGGGAAGGTGACCCGATCTTCGAATCCATTGCGATTGTTAGTTGCACGTTGCCATGGTGGGCTGTTTTCTTTTGCGTTTCCGCCGCCCATTTCCGTGGACTTTCTCTTCTTTTGGGTGATGAATTGCTCTCGAGCAGGATTGATGTAGCCGTTGGAGGCCATCTGCATCTTGAGGGATTCCTCTTGCCAGGCTTTGTGGGCTCTCTCCTGACGAATCATGTGTTGTGGCAATGGAAGGTTGTCCCAATCCGTAGAATCCAAGGATTGGCTATCAGTGGCTCTGGAAATGGTCTCCTTGAGCTTGGCTTCCATTTCAGATCGTGGGATATCATCGAGGACATTTGCGGGATCGAAGGATCTTTGCACATACATGCGGACTGAATGTGGCCAGTCAATCTTCTTCTTCTGGGGCTCTTGAACTGGCTGTAGCTGCAGAGATGGCGGAGGCTGTTGAGGGACCATCGTGTATGCTGGTGTTTGGTTAAAGGTTTGTCGTGCTTGTACAGGATGATACGCGGGTTCTGCGGAGACTGCCACACGTTTACGTTTAGCGCCCATTTTGATGCTGATGTTGGATGTTGGGAATAACGGAAATGTCGGGATGCACAAATTTTGGTTGACGATGGAAAAGTGAATCTCAATCTCACCTGGTTGGTATCTGTACATGTCCTGCGTGCCAGGCGGTGGCGGGACAACTGAGACTGGCGCCCACTGATTCATGGTCGGTGGTTGGTCGTTGGCTGGTCTGGTCGTTTGGCTACTATTGTAAAGGCTGTGGAATGTGGGTGATAATGGGCTTTGTATTATCACGAGGTTAGTAGCACGACAATGGTCGTGGATGGATGGGTGGAGGTGGATGAATGGAGATGGATGTGGGAAGGGTGAAAGGGAGGAGAGGTTGTTGGGAGAGTCAAAGGGCCTGTGGATGACTTTGTACGGTAGTGATGAGGGCTAGGGTTTGCTGGCTGCTGGCTGAGAGAAATAGGGCCACGCTACTGGCTACTGGTGGAGTCGGAGACTGGACTGGACTGGAAGGTGCGCGGTGCTAGTGAGTATTTCTGATTACGGGGTGGCGCTATGGGCAGGCATATCGGCATATCAGCATTTCGCATATCGGATACAGGGACGCGGGCATATCAGCACTCAGATCGGTCATCAATCGGCCATCAATCGGCCATCAATCGGCCACACATCCCGTACTCAGACATCATCGCCTCTTCAACGGAGCAGTGATAAGAAGATAACAGCCTCCACCTCCGTCTCCAAAGCCTTGGCTGCCCTCCCTGGTGGCAATGGGTAACAGACTATGTCCAAACCTACACAATCCTATTTCTCTTCCTCTCCCTCTTCCAATCTGGTGATACCGATTAGCCACGCCCATGGCACGACCGAATGTTTCTAAAGAACCTTGACCTCACCACTGCTTTGAGGCCAGCGACGCTGCCAGACGAGGTTCAGCTCTTCGTCCAAGACAACGTGGGGTTGTATGAGGGGTCAGTATAGTCAACACAAGCTCCAACTCTATGTACATGTAAACCAAGATACTGATGATATCTAGCAAGTACAAAATCCCCGGCTACCAAAATGGCCACGTATACCTGACCTCCCATCGAATCTGCTACGTCGACAATGATGATCCTAGGAAGAATTCCGTCGCAATAGAGTTGCGGGATGTGGATCGCTACGAGTTCTATGTAAGCAAGAAAACATCATGGCTGATATGGCTCATAACAAGCTTCTGATACCTTGCAGGCGGGATTTTTGAAATCCTCAGCAAAAATCACACTAGTTCCCAAGCCTGCCAAACGCTCAGCACACAATCGAGCCATTTCCAACCTCAATACCCCTCCAAGAAGTACCACGGCATCTCCCTCTCTGAGAGCAGACAGTCCTTTTCACCTCCCTACACCAGAACCACCTCCAACGAGTACTGCCACCTGGATATGTACCATATGCAGTAATTCGAATCCTGTCCCCTCCAATTTCGATCCGAAGACCGCAAGCGAGTATACTCACATACCTCCATGTCTTCTCTGTGGTTGTAAGCCAGAGTTTGCTCAAATTCTCAAGGCTGCGATTACAAGTGCTACCAATCGACCCTTACAACTCCCTCAATTATCAATCCCTATTCCTGTCCGAGGGCGCCCTGATGTCTCCAGACCACATCCAGGCATCTATGGGAGATCTCCGGCTGCCCAACCAGATACATTTCGTCCGCCACAAGGAACAGAAGCAACATTTCCTTGTCCCAGATGTACCTTCTTAAATCATCCATCACTTCCATCTTGCGAGATCTGTGGTGCTTCTCTGGTCTCTCAAGATCTTCCAACCGGCCTAGATGACCCAAAATTACGGGAAGAATCTCCTGGACCAATGCTAAATGATCTACCTGCTCCTGGATTAGAGAGCAATGAAAGTATAAAATTGTCATTTCGTGGAGGAGGCGAAAAGATAATGTACGAAAGGTTGAAAGGTTGTATGGTACAGCGTAAATGGCTTCTCCAAGGCGCACCACCAGTCCCAATACCATTTAGACCTAATGGCTCTGACAATGTATCGCCTGGTGGAATTTCAACGTTCGAGAGATCAAAGACTGTGGGTATCGCAGGACTTGAGCAAAGACGGAGAGAAGTTCAAAAGAATAACGAACTAGTCATTGGAACTGCCTTTGAGGATCTAGATGCATTGATGGCATCCGCCAAGGAGATAATTGCCCTCGCAGAATCATTTTCAAACAACAGCGCTGGCAATGGAAGCTCAGAAACAAATGCAGTTGCCAACGCTCTCGGTCTAGTCACAACAAAGGATATGCTTGGTGGAGGAAGCAATTCTGGATCACTCTACATTTCCGAACTCTCCCGAAATATAGCAGAGTTTATAAGTGATGACGCCCGAGGGGTCTTACAGAAAGCAGGTGGCATCATAAGTCTAGTCGACCTCTGGGCTATGTTTAATCGCGCCCGCGGAGGTGTTGAACTGGTCTCCCCCCTCGACTTTGAGAAAGCCGCGCGACTCTGGGAAAAACTCAAACTCCCTGTTCGCTTACGACAATTCAAATCCGGCGTCCTAGTTGTCCAAGGATCCGATCGTACAGACGAAAAGACCATCCGCGCCCTCCTCGCCTGGCTCGCAGATCTCCATGTCTTCCCTCCTGACCGGGAACCCCCATGGGATTGGCGCCTCTTTGGAAGAGGTGTGACGGCGCAGGATGCCGCTGAACGATTTGGATGGAGCATTGGGGTTGCGGAGGAGGAATTGGAGATGGCAGAGGAGAGGGGGGCGCTTTGTAGGGAAAGTGGAATTCAGGGGGTTATGTTTTGGGAGAATTGGATTGATGATAAGAAGAGTCCTGAGGTTTTTCGGATTTGAACTCATGGTCTAGGCGAAGAATTAGATGAGATAACGTAATGTAAAGAGATAAATACACCATACCAAATTCAATTTCAATTAAGAAAAAGCGTATGATGTGGTCACGAGGTATTCAAAGTTTATTGAGCGTTACATTCTGGTGTGACTAGAAGTACAAGATTGTTGGGTACCGAGTCGGAGGTCAGAACGTGGCAGAGCATTGTGATGGGGGTGGGTGAATTGGGAATTTCTTTTTGTACAGTGGTGACGAAATGATTGTACGATGATGGTGTATCAGTGAAATTACCGAGGTTCCATCCATCAGCGACTGGGGAGTCTTAATAATAGGATGGCGGGGACAGAGGGGAATGAATGAACGTTGTTTGAGGTTGGAGGTTATTCAATGGAAGTTGCTTCGTTGACCACTACTTAAACTGTACCTACGCTCAACAGAACACAACTACACTTTCTGGTGATTTTGATGATCGCACTTTTAGGTGTTCTACACAAACTACAGGGACGGCTCTTATAAAGGCAACACGATAGATACAGAGATCAACAAGCAGAGGTGTACGGGATTACATCATCCATCATACCATCATCCATCATACCATCATCCATCATACATACCTCCTCAGTGCTGGTGTTATATCCAATCTCTATTCTCCATCAGGAGAAGGATAGCAACGCACCATCTCTTTCAGATACCTCAACAGACCCACAAACCGCATCATACCAACCAAACTACCAACCGACGCACTAGACTCTAGAGATAAGCTAAGCGACAGACAGACAAGATGTCCCCTCGCAAGGTCCCACCAGATGAGTTCTGGGTCTGTTGTCGGATTGTGGGTGTCACGGCTGGGAAACGTGTGTTTAGTATCTCGGTATGTATTTCTATTACTATCTTCTACTCTCTTCCTTCCTTGTCTTATGGGCCTTACCTTTTACCACCATAATTAAAGGACTATCTCAACAATCTACCATCTGTCATTTACATAATATAGCAAAGGAATACTGAGCTAACCCTCCAGTGCGGCACCCCCCTCCCAACAAATGAAAGTACCTGCACGGAATGCACTCATTATCGCTGTGGGGGCTGCACGGTTTGGGCTAGGCAGGTAGTTCAAGTTCACGCTGCGAAAGGAGGGAAGCGGCGAAGTGGAAGTGAGGGTGCTGGTGCTTGTTTTGGTTCTGAGAGCGAGAATGAGAGGGAGAGGGGTGGTGGGGAAAAGGAGAGTGCTGAGAGTAGTGGGAATGAGGAGGTGTTGGAGCTAGAGGAGGAGGAGGGGGTTAGTTGTCGCTAGGAGGAGAGGTTTGAGATGGGTTTAGGGTGGAGGTGTGCTTGCTGGGTGGAGTGGGGAGGTTTGGGGATTATAAGGGGGTGGGGGGATTGAGAGGAAGTTAGGAGGAGAGATTTTAATGGTTCACTTGCTGGGATTTTGAGGTTTTGGATGAGGAAAGTACATGTAAGGGTGTCTGGGTGGGGTGGTTCTATGTTTTCAGGCTAGACTTCTTCGTGGATTGTGAGAACTAGACTTGGAAATAAGAGATAGCCCTGAGCGGGATGTATTTTGAAGGTGAGGGAGATAGTAGGAGGGGCCGGTGGGATGGGGATGCTAGATAGCTGGTGAATAAGGGGTATTCGGCTAGAATCGGAAGGACTATGGTTGAGATCATGAGACTGACTGATGATACTACGAAACTTCTCCTTTGCTTTGATAGGTTGTATACAACTGAGTATCTACTTTGATATGTAGTTTGAAGAAGTCTTAAGCGAAACTGGAAAGTTAGAGAGTTTTTAACGCTCTTGTAGGGTATTGGAAGAAGGTATTTTACATAGTTAAGACTTTTTTATATCTGATTACAAAGAAGTAAGGTATAATAATTCACTGGCGTCTTATTAATACTTTGTGCGGGGTGAGCACATTCTATCTCCTCATACCCTTCTCCAAGCCCTCTTGGCTATCATGAAGTGAATATCTCAATAAACAACAACCTCCCCCTCAATCCCTCTTACTCCAGCCCTGAACCCCTCAAGAGTCAAATACCAACTCTTTTCCACCCCTTCATCCCAACCACAAAAATCACCTCTCATCTCCATCCCATCTCCTACTCATTCCCACATCTCCCTACAAACGGTCCCACGAACACCAAAAAAACATTCACAGCTAGCCTCCTAAGCGAGAACCAGCTCAAGACAATAACTAGGACAGTGGACTAGGGTTTTATATCTATACCTACCTACACCATGTCATCCAGCATCAACACCTCAAAGCCTCCATCTCGAACCTCCTCTTGCAGTCTTTGGACCTCAATCCTCCGCTTTTTCCACGAGTACTCGACTGATATCTCGCTTTCCCTCTCGCTTTCCGATATGTCTTGCTCAACACCGCCGCTCGACACACCCACACCTACACCTCCAACATCCTCTCCCCACACATGGACAGTCACATCCCCCAATCCAAACCCGAAACCAAACAACCGTACAAGCAAACCAAAAAAACCCACACCATCAAAAAACAACACAGAAACCAACGAACCCCCGGCCTCCACAGCCCGCAATATGCTAACCCTGCAACACTGTTCCCTATCCGGTTTCCTGCCTGCTGCCAAGGGGAACGTCGTGGTGGGGGGCCCGATGGTGGAGTTTTATTGGTTTTGTTGTCATGAGAGGTTGAGGGAGATGTTGATGAGGGTTAAGGGGGCGGTATGTACTCTTCTATTCTATTATCCTTACCTCTATTCCTTTCCTACCTTTGTAATACGTGTGATATTTGATTGAGGGTTGTGGTTTATTTTTATGGTGAAGGGGATGGGTATGAGGAAAATACTAATGCGATATGTGAATTATAGTGTGCAACGAGAAATCATCTCCATGAAGCGCGGTGTAGGTTGTGCGGACATGGGAAGTGTGCGGATTGTCCGCTTGTGGCGCAGGAGGAGGGGGATGAGAGGAAACCTGTTTTTGCGAGCCATCACAAATCGTGATGAATCTTCAAATCAACGAAGAGAGCTAGGATTCTTGGGATTAGGATGGGATGGTAGTTATCTTCATAAAATGTCTGAGAAGGGAGGGATCTTTGGAGGCGAGGGCATTTGATGGTTTCTTGGGGGAGGGGGAGGAGGGAGGCTTGTAGGGAGAGTTTGGTTTCTTGATACCCGTGGATAGTGATTCTGGCGGAAAATGGGATTTATCTTCGAGCTAGAGGAAAATTGGGGAAGGGAGAGATTTCTGGAAGTGAGGAGGGTTTGATGGTTCTGGGGGCTTTTGCTCTTTCGAATGTTTATTAGGGATGGCTTTGATATATTGATACCCATGAATACTAATTCTGATTCTGATTCTTTTGCCTTTTTGAGGGGTGTTTGTTCTGTGTGTAAGACTTGTGGTTGTTGTGGCTTACAGGCACTGTGATATTGAGAGTTGTTGGGGACGTTTTGTTTGTAAATTGTCCTGGCCTGGGAGCAACTCGGGCGATTGAAATAGGGTTGGAGATCTCGTTGCTGGTGGGAATCTTGACTTGGTATAGTGCGAAATCGCCGGCGGGGTTGGTAGGTTATAATTCTGGCTGCTGGAATGGTAAGGACTGTTTTATCCTGCTAAGTGTGATTTAAATCTGCCTCGTAGGCAGTTTTGCGCTTATTGATTCTGCCTGCTATCAAAATCAAGTATTCGTTCTAAACCTTAGACAAAGCATGGAAAGGAGAAGCTTTGTATCAAAATAAAAAGATGGCAAGGGAAAGGTATCGTGGTTTCTACTATATATAACTTGAATATAGAGTCGATTTATTGCCATAGCATGTGAATCATTCCTATAGAATTAAGTGCCCACCCTACATAGCATAGGTGGAGAAATGAGTTTAAGCGAGCTTAGCTACTCATCACTCAAGCGAAATGAAGCAGTCAGCAGCAACTTACCAGCATATCATCTGACCATGCCCTTGTATTCTACTTTATACACTCTAGATAAACAATCAGAAGAGCCTAATTAAAGTTACTGGTGCTTATTCACATTCCGCTCAAATCTCGCTTCACTATTAATTCACAAGAAATAGATTCACATAGCTACAGCCTAATGCCATGTGGTACAAATAAGGTGAACGGCACAGGCTTTTCTATTCACATTTCTTCCAACGGCGTGGTTTGTCTAGATTTTGAGCTACTGCCTGCATTCAACAGGGATAGGTATAGTTGTTTCGGCAAACTTTAGCCGAATGTCCAATACGCGAAAAAGTCTTGACCCAATTATCGCTGACTACCAATCTACCGCCAAACTACAAGGAAAACTGAAAGATCGCTAGGTACTTGTAGACTGTATATGATATGATTCACCGCAAATATCTTTCTTGTGAATATTTTCTAGAACGTGAATTAACGAAACCCCACCTTACCTATGAGTACACTTTATTACAGAGCGGGGAATCTTTATTTCTAAAAGGTCATCCTACTTTTTACTACTTGCCCTACAAAACTAGCGGCCGTTTTCTCGCTTGCTCTTGTTAGCCCAAGATACTGCGCCAACGCGTTCCTCTTTACTACATCTCTCACCACCACCACTAACACTGATCTTGAGTCTGACTTCCAATCTTGTCTGTACTATTACACTTGCAACAATCTGTTGAAGAAATTGTACCTGCACAGCCTAGATCTTCATTCAAAACAAGCTAATCATGACGAATCCCCTTGATTTTCTCAAGCAGAAGCGCCTTAGCTTCCTGCAGCGTTGCGACCGATCGAGTTCCACTACCACCCAATCCCCAGAACCCCCAACAGAGGATACAACGGAGATGCTGAGCTTGACTGCACCATCTACTCCAATTTCAGGTCGAAATTTCGCATCTTCTCATTCCCAATCGCAAGCCATACAATCTCCACCCCTATCCTCATCACCAATATCGCCAAACCGACTCGTCGCATTGCCCCAGAATGACGCAGAAGAACGCACATGGACAACAACCGGCGTAAACAACGAAGCACAACCCACTACTCCTCACGCTCGTCGCTCATCCCTCTCAAATATCCGTCGCACGCTCTCTACCACTAGCGGAAGCATCAAGCGATCCCTCAGCATATCAAATCCCAAGGCGAAAGATGGCAGGGTATCCATCAAAAGCCTTACACGAAGCAGCACCGCTTCATACAGCAAGCTTGGGGGTCTGTCCGAGGGCCCGGAAGATGATTTGGGATACTGGACTTGTTGTCAGGATGAAGATGATATATCGCCTTGGCCTGTACGTGATTCTGATCTTCGTTCTTCTCAAAATGTATGCTAGTTTTACTATTCCTAGTGTAGGAAGCAAAATGATCTCGCCGTGTCTGTGTGCGAGAGATGTGGACATTGGACTTGTGAGCGTTGTGTTGTGGAGAGGTATAAGAAGGGGGATCCTTTTGAGCGTGGGGAGGGCATGAATGCCTCGTCTTTTGGTGTTTTTTAAGCTGGAATCATGGGTTTTAAGGGCAGTATGTAGGATGAGAGGCGAAAAATAGAGGGTCTAGCGTGTGTTTTTCTCGTGAAATAGGGGGTTAGAATGAAAAATACTATGTTTTCGGAGCTTAAGAAAAGGGGTTCTACTAGTAAATGAAAACGAAATTTACTACTTTACATTTAAACTCTATTCGTCTATATAATTTAAAGTAATATAAAAGTAGAAAATTTAGGCGGACTAAAAGATCTACGTAGTATTCTACTCGCTTAAATTTTCTAGAGAGTTAAAATAATTAAAGTAAAATAGACTTCCTACGTAAAGTAAAGTACCCAAGAAGATTTCTAGAATATTAGTTTGTCTAAAGAACTAACGTAATAGAGTTAAAATTAATATATAATATTAACTTAAGACTTATATTATTTACAACTTTCGTAACTCTTAAAAGCTTTTTCAGATTAGTAAGGACATATATAGACTAAAGCTTAGCTTTACCCCTTGATATTATTTAATAAATCCCGAATAGATATTTGTTTACTGACTATTTATTTCTATTATTTCGAGTATTTATAACTATAGTATTAGTAGTTAACTGTTGTGCTGGGTCTACTTTCTCTTTTGCTCCACTTCCTTATTTGATCCACTTATAGCTCTGCTGCCTAAATGCTTCATGTCTGCCTAAACCTTACACTCTTTATATGAACACCTTAGATAGCTACCTTTTACAATGCAATCAATTCTCCATGACCTTCAGTACCCAATACCCTTTCAACCCAATATTAACTTATATTATTTTATTATCATAAGAATTCTTCTTAGACTCTACTTCTTAATTATTAACGACTATATTCTAAAAATTTAATATATTTACCAAGAAATTATAAATACTCTTAGAAATAAAAAGTTCTCGCTTAGCTTTTGCTTAAATTATACCTCTAGAAACTCTCTAATATACTTCTTTAATCTCTAATATTATATAATACATAATTCCTACCTTATTACTAGAAACCCATTATAATAGCATAACTTACATAATCACATCTATTATCTATATGATCCAAATCCCTACAAGAACAAACCCTAACAAAGAGTTTTTATCCCCCAGGATCCATCTATTATAAAAACAACAAGCACTTAACCAAAGTAACTGTTACGACATGGCGGTTGGTCTTAGCTAACCGAGACTCCTATACTCCTATCTCTACTACCTAACCTTATCTCGGTTGCCTAGGAGGATGCCTAGCACTCTAGAGGCTTCCACTCGGTTAGGGTCGTCCTATAAAGACTCCCTACTTGCCCCTTAGCTAGTTTCCCTCCTTATGCTTATCCTATTCTGCACTGTGTCCTATTCGTCTTCTGACAGTAACTACGCAACCAAAACCTTCTACAATATAGATCGCGATTTTCCATTCACTATTAATCCCTACCTTATCGCATTTTACAAGTACAATTATAACGCAATCCATAGCGCAGGAACTAAGTTAAGTACTAGTACTAAGTAAACCTAACATATACATACTATCTCATCTACTTATACTTATGCTAACTTAACTTAACCCAACTCACCTCAAAATCCCTCCAACAACTACACAATCCACCACCTAATTCTCCCCCCCTCCCCCTCCTACTAAACGCAAACAATTAAAACCTACTAGTCTACTAGACCACATAGGAAGGAAGGACTAGATATAAATCATATACCTTCTACTCACTACCACCCACGCAAGGAAGACAAGCCTTACCTACTCAAAATTTCACCACCTAAGTATTTCTAGCGAAAGGAAAGTTACTATACAAGGTCGTATGTAAACCCTATAAACTATATTTCAATAGTAAATGATTTCTCGGTAGTAAATTACTTCTTAACGAGGTATTATAGTTCGGATGAGTAAAGAATGCTTTGTCTATCTCTATCGGAGTAAGGATATACAGATAGTACTTATATATAATTTAGTACTTGTAGAACGGCTTTGATACCGAGATTCTGTTGAATCACGATAAGGCACCAATAAGAAATAGGTACGCACTCCTCCCTTCAGATAGAGTGGAAACTTGTTGGAATGATAAACCCGTATCGGGATATGTATGAAGAGTATCACTTTTTCTCATATTTTTTTTTACATAGGTATCTACAGCTGGCATCCATTTGCACGCCCAAATACCAACCAATACCACTTCATTTACCGTTACCTTTTACTTCCCACCTTGCTTGCGGAAAAAAGGCCGGCAATTATAATACAGATCCCTCATATCGCATCCCATCCCATGCCATCCCACCCCATCCATGTTCACACCCTTCTCGTACACGTTTTGCATTAATAAGTCAAAGTTGCCCCGGAAAAGATGCAGCAGCTACCGCCCACCCATAGAAGAAGAAACAACATCAAAACAAGAAAAGAAGGGAAAAAAATCTATGTTCGTCGCATCTTTCCATTTCTGATCCACCAAATATGCAGAAGGGCCCATTTTTTTCCAGGAGTAAGTAACCACACCAACAGGAGAACACGCCAGGTGAGGGTATTACAACATTGGAAATGTCGCTTTTCCATTGTTGAAAAGGTAGTAAGACAAGGGGTAGGTCGAAAATAGAGGATTGGGAGGAAGAACCAAGACAGGTCATGTCCGAGAGGCGTTGTTTTCGTTCCGAGGCATTATGTATCAATTAGAGTGGAGGGGTAAGTCGTTTAGATTTTACATTGTCTAAAATGGGATCTGAGCTGGTGGACCAGTTTGTTCTTGTTGGAGTTCTTCACCACCTGATTCGATGTTGACGGCAACACCAATCTTGGCAGATTGCTAATCGATTGGTCAGTATTGGGTCTTAGAGTATGTGAAAAGAATTACGAACCGTAGCGTGGTGCATCTCCGAAGCAAAAGTCAATTGCACCATTGGCGCCACTCTCTTCTCCAATAGACATCCCAACTTTCCTGTCGAGTCTACTTGAGCTCTAAAAGTTGACATTCGGAAGTCGTATTTGGCTCCAACTGTTGCGACACCCTCCTTCTTGGCTCCACCCATCATCCCGGCACCAGACAACCCCACGAATTGAAGGTTCAAATCCACACCAGCTTCGACTTTGTCTGTGAGTCTTCGCCAATAAGATGTACTGAAAGCTCCTCCTGCTGCCAATTGTGCCGTACCAATCCAGTCACTTCCTTTGTATTTTGCGCAGTATGAAAGGGCCGTTTCTGGACCTTGGTTGAGGGCTGAGCGTTGCCAGATTGCTTCCAACCCAAGAGCAAGGCTTGGAGTCACTGACTGCAGGTAACTACCAATGAAAATTCCCGTGAGGCCGCCATCTATCGCTGAGGGATTCAAAGTCTTGAGAGATGCTGTAAAGTCGGCGCCCACATACTCGTTATCCAACTGTAACATCGATTGGTTGCCCGGCGCGACTTGGACCATCGTCTTGGTAACGAAGGCTGGTGACCATCGGTAGTTGAATCTGGCTGAGAGTTGACCATCATTATCGATATTCCCTTGCATAAAAACCTGCAGTACCACACGTCAGCTGTTGTAATTGTAGAGATGCTTCGCATGTTACAGTAGAACTCGTGGGGGTCGACTATCCGGCCCATCAAGTATCATTGTATCCAAATCTCATAGTAATGACGAACCTTATTGGTACCAAATAAAGCAGCGAATGCGTATGGAGGCAGACCCTGAGAGCCCATCGAGAAGGCATGAGAAACCTGGAATAAAGGAGCGATGCTGAAAGCCTTGGTGAGATCTGCCCGTAGGCCAGAAAAGGTGTATTGGTTCAAGAAGACATCACGCTGCACCTCTCTGGCGATATTTTCCGTCGTTCCTGGATTTGGCAGCCCCAATGCGGCTCTCCGCTCCTGGAATCCATTATATGTATCTGCGAGCAGGGCGCCGACTGGGTTGTTGAGCAGGAATGCCAAAGGAGCGTCATTATCGCCGATGATCGAGGACATGTTGCCTAAGTATTAGGAAGAAATGGAGGGGGAGATCAATGGCGAGATGCGAAAGACGACAGGAGGTCCAGGGCGGTTGGGGGGTGTGGTGGGAGATGGGGATGGCGAAATATCGAGAAGTGCTCGTTGCGCCTCGATGATAATTTTCTGAGGAGCTCACCCGGCAGCGGCAGCAGTTCAGAAACAAGGCATCCAAGGCATCAACATCAACCAGGTGAGGATTTGCAGTGGGTGGGTGTGAGCGTGGGCTGCGGTGCCAAGTCCGATTCACTTGTACTCCAAGACAGGGACGGGGAAGGAAGCAGCGTCATTGGTTCGAGGGGACGATGCAAAACCCTGAGCAAGTAGTGGCAGAGGGCGAGTGGGCTACTGCTACTATAAAGTCGGGCATAAGACTTGTGGTAAAAGACTCTGACGGTGACATTGTCATTCCTTAGCATTTCCATCTTACCTTCATTGTCGATTGCTGCGTCTGCGTCATCGTCATTCTCGCACATACCAAGTACACCAAAGCACATTCTATAAAAGTCGTCGCGGTCAGTGTGTTTCCTTCCAGGACCAGGTTCCCGGAAGCACAGGTGGACGACTGGCTCAAGCTCAAGCGCAAGCCCAAGTCAACCACCACCACCAGCCACCAGACGCTCAAGGTGCTTTACCCAAAAAAGCAATTACTGACTACATCGACTCATAAACCCCCCTTCTACCCCTCCTTCTACCCCTCCTTCTCTACCCCTCCTTCTCTACCCCTCACCCCTCCTCAAGAGACACTTCTGCGTACAATTGAGCAACTATATCAAACAACCCCTCCCACCTGACCAATCAGCATCACATTTATTTCCCGCTTCGCCTGCTAGCGTTGTTCTACCTTACACCTTAGCCAGATTGTCACCATACACCTGACCCAATTGGGAGCACCTGCACCAGATACAAGCAACCATGGATACCCTTCTGTGAGTGATTTTGATTCCATAACCACTCCTTTTCTCCTTTGTTGCGGAATATCTACCATCTACAATACTACTACTCCAACCATTCGATAAGTGGAAAGTGGAAAGTGCAAAGTGAAAAATCGCCATCATGACAAGCCTAGATCCCGTGGGCTTGCCCCATGGTGACCATCTCATGGAGAACCACCGACAACAATCATCGAGGCAAGAATCTATTCAGGGGAATGTAGTCGAGGTTGAGCGTGAGATAATTTCGGCTGTCGCTGCTTCTTCTCAGATCATCAGACCCGAACTTCCCACCTCTGCTGAGGACCTTGCTAACCTTGTCGAATTGGATGGCAGCACTGCCGAAATCGCCGCCAATTCTCCTAGATACCGCAGACGATCATCAACTTTCATTGACGGTGTTCACGATGTTCCTGACGAAAATAGCTCCCCAATGGCCCCAGCCCAACTTTACAGTACCATGTCAGGTCGTCTATTCCACTCGGGAAGAATAGCCATCGTCCTTGTCGGTCTGCCCGCTCGCGGAAAGACGTGAGTTGTTTGACGAATATAACAATGCTACTTTTACTCATCTAATATCTTACTACAGCCATGTCTCAGTATCACTATGTCGTTATCTGCAATGGTAGGTCTCGTCATTATCTGATTTCTCACCTTCTCGCTAAAATACCATAGGCTTGGTGTCAAGACTCGAGTATTCCATCTGGGAGATTACCGACGTGCATCGATGGGTCCAAATGTTGACGTTCCTGACGACTATTTCTTCATCAATGCTTCGGCAGCTTCAGTAATGATTCGCCAGAAGATTCTAAAGAAATGTCGAGAGGATATCTACGGCTGGCTCAACCACGAAAATGGCCAAGTAGCCATTTATGATGCAGTCAACCCTCTCAGTAATGGGCGTCGCTCTCTTGCCAAGGAATTCGCAAAGCACGATGTTCAGGTGTGTAATTCATAAAACCGATTCAATTTCTGGAAGCTAACCCATTCACCATAGACTCTTTTCCTTGAATCGTATGTCACAGATGAGAGAATTCTCCAAGAAAATGCTCGGAGTGTAAAGATCTCATCACCTGATGTGAGTATGACAAAATCCCGTTCTACGTACAGCCTAATAAGATTATCAGTTCATTGGTATGGAACCAGATGAGGCAGCCAAGCTCTACCTGAAGAGAATTGATATGAAGATCCCTTACTTTGAGACCATGAGTGAGGCAGATCTTAACTATGTCAAGATGATCAACGCCGGAGAGCGAATTCAGTACAACAATGTCAGCTTCGGCTATCTATCCCATCGAATTGTTTTCTATTTGATGAACTTACACATCAAGTCTCGCCACACCTTCTTTGCTCGAGCAGGTACTTCGAGCCAACAAGACTCATACAAATTGGATGCACATCTTTCTTCCGAAGGTGCAGACTACGCAGAGAAGATGTCAGATGCTCTTCTTGCCCATCGTGAGGCTGAGAGAGCCGCTCTTATCGAAGCAGGTGGCTCAGATGCTCCATTAAAGCCATTGACTGTGTGGACCTCAACAAGAAAAAGAACAGTAGAGACCGCTGCAGTGCTTGAAGATCGTGGGTATAAAGTTCGTCAAAGATCTCAGATGAGTCAACTCAATCCAGGTGTATGCGAGAAACTTTCAGAAAACGCAATTCGTCGTGTATATCCCGATGAAGTTTTTCTGCATGAAAAGGACCCATACCATCATAGATACCCCAGAGCTGAGGTATGATGAATCCTCTCTCATTAATATTTACACTACTCACAAATATCTAGTCTTACCACGACCTTGCAGTCCGTCTCGAACCTATCATCCTCGAACTCGAGCGCGAACAAAACGACCTTCTAATCATTGCTCACGAATCTGTCCTTCGAGTTTTGTATGGCTACCTCATGGCCTGCGATGCAATGTCCATCCCCTCCCTCAAATTCCCCCGCAACGAAATTATCGAGGTACACTCCCCACTATCTCCCGTAATCCCCATCATTACTAACAACCCCCAGATCATCCCAGCATCCTACCAAAACGAAGCCAAACGTATCATCATCCCAGGCGTAGCCGAAAAGATCATCCCCGGTTCCCCAGAAGATATTCGGATCCCCGTTCCTCCCCCATCGGGTGGTCTCACCCCCCTTTCTGGGATCGGTACCCCAGCCTTATCTGGAAGAGGTACACCTGCGGAGCTGGCTGCTGGTGCAAAGGAGGGCAGTGGTGGTAATGAGACGGCTTTGAGACCGAAGATGGTTTTGGGGGCGAGGAAACCGGAGAATCCTTTGAGTAGGGATTAGATGTTATGGTGGTGGACTTGTAGGGTCTGCTTTACATTTGAATTTCAGCAGAAGGCTCTCTTAGGTATGGGGCGAGTATTTGGTCTCGTGAATGAAGCCGCCAACGGTTTGGCTTCGGTATAGGAAGCTGGTAGTCCTGCGTAACTTATCCCTTTAGCTCATCTGGATTGTTGTTGATAGTTTCAACTTTCCTCTTCCACTCTTCTTTTTAGAATGAAATTCAATGAGTATATGAATTTACGTAAAGTATATGAGTCTACCCTACGTAAACACAACAAGATGTCCATTCTCCTAAAATCCACGCTTAGTACTCGAGCACGAGTACGAATAGGTTTATAATTCAAGATTCCTTTATATTATACTTACCTATCTAGGGCCGGGATATTTTTATATCACGTACGTGAGGACAGATAAACAACCGACCCCCGCTGACAGAACCTTGAACAACTTCATATTTCTTTCCTCCTACCTAAGAGTAGGAAGCGTTAGAGCCCAGGGCTCTCTTTTTCTCACCTATTACTATTCATATTTATATACTACTATTTATATTAAAAGGCATTAGCAAGATAATAACAACCAAAAAAAGAAGAAAAAAAGATCAAGGTAGTATATATCTATATATCATACCAATTCTTTTATATAATGGATTCTAGAATGGGATAATATGATATTCTTCTATCTGAAAGGAATTAACGAGCTAGGGGATCGAGGCGTAAAAACAGCTATAAATCTAGCGGCTAAGAACCAAGATAAGGAAGGAGCGTATACATTATTCATCCGCCTTTGCATTTGTATTTCACTATTATCTATCTCCCCTTCCTCTCCTGACTCTAACCCCATGCACGCATGCTATGGCCCCCTCCCAGCAAATTACAATAAAGAACCGCAAATTCGCTGTCTGCTCTTCCTTGATTGACTACACCTAACTATTGTAGGCCTCTTCTTATCGACGCCCACCTCAAATGCTCCAACCCAGACACACAAAGCAAGCAAAGCAGACCAGACCATCCTAGCTCAGGCGCTTGCTTGCTCAATTTCTCCCAAACGCCTAGCAAATTTCTCTTGGGAATCATGAAGGAAGAAGGAAAGAAAAAGAGAAGGATTATTTTTACACGATTCCAGAGGCCTCGCCCCGTAAGAAGAAAAATCCACATGTATAATGTAGATGAAAGGAAGGGGAGGCAAAAAAAAGGCAAAGTATGTACATCAAAAAGGCGGTCGGTACTCTCAGGATAGAATATAAGGTAAAGTCGTCCACACTGAAGTCGCCAATATCCACTGTTCTCTTTTGTAATTTTCTGTAATAGTGTTCAGGTGAGCTCCAAAGGCCGTCCTATAGGCAGGCTTTCAGATGGCTGTGCTACCTATATGCGTTTGATGGTGGCGCTGGGCGATATGCAGGTATGCTTGTAGTGCTGTAACCGTTTGTTTGTTGCCGCTTGGGAGTTCTGGCAGGGCCCTCATCTTCATCCCCGCTTGATGTGAGGTCGATGACATCGGCGATCGGTCGCTTTGAACTCGTGCTGCCCTGGGTTCTACCCGCTGATGAAGTAGATACAGATCTCTGTGGCTGTGACAAATAACCGTTCGGTGCTCCCATAGACACATTATCACCATTTTTGGTAATTTCAACTAGGTCATCATCATCATCACTGGCAACTCCGTTGTATCGAGTATTTTCCTTTTTGTTGGTCTCCTGTTTCTTGTCCTCCCATTTGCCATCTGGTTGAACAGTGACTTGATCTGTCGACTGTTTAGTGTTTTTTAATATTTTAAGGACATAACTGAATTACAGGTTAGTACTATTCGCTGTGTGAAATAATGTTGTTCTTACTCGTCAACAACCAAATTTCGAAAAGGGGCAGATTGGTTGCAAATTGGACAGAGCCAAGTAGGACCTTGCTGTTGTAATTGAAGATAAGACTCGCCGTCAAAGCATGCGTTGTGACGACAGGCTAGTGATCTGACTGGTAGAGAAATTCGCAACGTTGATAAAGGACATTTCAGAGATAGAACCGAGGCCGTTGCCACGATATCCGGATCTCGAGATTTGGTCACCACTGTAAGTAACCTCGTTAGGTTGTGTACTAGAAAGCTGACAGCTGATAACTTACTTTCATCCAACACAGCTTTCTCTGTGATATGTCTGCCCGCAGTGATCTCTGCAAGTAGGTTGTCAATCGGCTTAGTCTTGACGACATGAATTGCCAGATAGAATTTCTATTTTCATGTCAGTATGAGATCAAGTGAATTGCGGCGCAAAAGGAAAAAAGATAGTGAAGAATCAAAGGCATTCATGGAGCGGATATTGGTTGCCAACCTGCGAGGAATTGCCATCTACCTTGTTTGTAAGAGCGTAAGTCATCTCGACAGTGTTAGAGTATGTTGGAGGTGTAAGTCTGAGATCCTTGGTGATATCGACTGGTCGTGTTGAGCCTGGTTTGTTCTTCAGACCTCGTAAATTTGCCGAAATAGCACCTGTATTGACCTTGATCTCAGATTGGTGAGGAAATGCAACGTCTTGTGGACCCTTGTTCTCCCCAGCACAGAAGATCATGACTTTCAAAGATGGATCATTTTTGATGCGACCCAAAATAGGATAATCCTGGGCTTTCAGAACGATTTTTGCATTATTACGGTGATGAGCCATAGCTTATTTTGGTGTTAGTCATGCGAGTCCTTCGAGTAAGAATGGGCAGGCTCACCATCCATTGTTACTGTTTCACCCAGCTGCTGTTCCATATCGAAAAATGGACTAGACTTGAATTCGATTCCTATCGAGGGTCAGATCCTATCTCGACAAGAACGTCTATCTGCAATTGCCTTTGCGCACTCACCTTTTGGCTGGCCGAAGCCGAGATATGCATTTGCGCCACCCCCCATATTGTATCCGTTGCGATTCGCACCAAGACCCGAGATGTATGGAGAGGGTACAGGTGCGGGACCAGTTCGTGCGGGCGACGAGGAGCTGGCCATTCCAGAATGATAAGGTGAACCAGCGCCAGAGCTACTGGTGGGCGGGTTGAGGATCAGGCCTTTCAATTTATTGAACCGCTCGACGTTACCTGTATGCGCGTAAAGACGAATGCCTGGAGATTGCAGGTTAGTTATACGGTAGGTAGAGAAGTAGGTAGGTGTCGTGGAGAGAGATAGGAAGAGATGGGCCAAGTGCAGAGGTGAGGGCGAGGCGAGGCTGAGATGGTCACGACGAGGTAAGGAAGGGGGGGAGAGGACATACGCTCAATGATGCGCTGCTGTAACTCCAACTTCACGCCTGTTTTGGGGAGCCCGTCATTCGCACAAATCTGGATGAGGGTCTTATTGAGCATGCCACTGGTTTGGACGGCTCTCACGAGAGGTTCTGCATCCAGCAGCAGACTGCCTCCCATCGAGGTCATGGTTGGAAGGAGGGGAGGAGACGAGACGAGCGGAGCGGGTAGGGAGGGTACGAGGTTTCGATAGCGAGTGACTGGGTAGGTAGAGACGATGCGCGTGTACTAGTCTAGTGTGTAGTGCATGGAGGAGGTTCGATTCGAGAGTGGCAATTCAGAGAGCAGAAGACCGCAGCGTCCAATGTACGCGTGCATGCTCTTTCATTTCCATTGAGCGTCTTTTATGTGATGATTTGCAAGGCGCCTATGGTGTTGTGGTCGAGGGGTCGAGGAAGGCTGTAGGCTGTAGCCAGTCCCGTCAAAGCGGCACTACTACAGATTCACTGGCTTCGTGACAATTAAAAGCGGCAATTCATCACACTAACCACTCTTTTGAACGGTTGAATTAATTGCCCTGCATCTAGATAGTTCAGAATTTCAAGCCAGAAAATCAAAATAAAACTCAATTGTTATCACCTGGAGAAGAATCTCTCAAGTCGAGGTCATCCTAGGAAATCCAGCATTCACCACCATCCACTTCCGCTTTGCAATCCTTGCATGCCGGTAGGAGTTCCGCTGTTCCGTGGTTTTGCCGACGCGATATTTTTCCCTCTGAAAACCCCACTAGTTAGTAGCTCAGTCTCAGTCTGCAAGTACTCGAGCACAGTACACCATCCACCATTCACATATATCAACACAGTCGCCATGGCCAAGGGAGCGAGATCAAGTTCGCGTAAAGCAAACAATGCTGCGCTGAAAAGCAAGGTGTTCGGCCCGGTCGAAGCGGCGAGGAACGAGCGTATGCAGGCAAAGTTACTCGCCTTGATTGCGCAGCCAAAACCCAAGCCAGCAGAGAAAGATGTCGAGATGGAGGTTGCTGAAGGTATGTTGGCGCATCGTTGCTGTCGGAAAGGTGTTTATAGAACTCTGCTAATACAATTCTTAGCTACCACCGAGAGTAAGGAAGTTGAGCCAGTCGCAGAAAGCAAGACATCGGAAGGTACTTTTTGCCAACCTGAACCAGCATACAATAAGCCTTGGATTGACATTTCTTTAGCTATGGAAGTCGATGGGGAAGCTGCAAAATCAACCGCCCCAGCCAGAAAAACTCGAATCGAGAAGCGAGGCACAGGACGAAGATCTAGTCGCAAAGCCTCGATCGTTTTCCCCAAGTATAAAGATGGCAAGAGAGTGACAAGGCCAAGACAGAAGAAGTAGGAGATTTTGGCGTTGAGATATACAAGGGATTGGAGTCTCGGGACATATTTTGCAAGGAGTTTGGGCGCATGGGAAGGGAATTACTTTTGCTGGAATATTTTTGCCAATACCAAAATTTTGCGCTCCAGAGTCCGCAACCTCTTTTCGAATCCTCGGGATACTTTTACTTCATTTATTTTGCACTGAATCTGAAAATATTTTTATTGCATCAGCACCGAGATCCTAGTTACAAGTTTACTGGAATTTATTTTGGTACTGATGTCAACTTGCTACTCTCCTAGACCAGAGAAGGCGTGGTCACTCCCGCTCTATTTTTCTACACAACTGAAGTTGGTTGAAATCACTTTGGTTTTCGAGCTAGCCACTTCAAGATGTTAGAATGACCACCTCTTAATTATTCTCAAACGAAAAGGCTATTTACTGTCACTTTACTTGTCTGTAAACTACCGTAGGTTTTCGCCGATAAGGAAGCTTATCGTCAAGTACCGAGTACTGGCTGAGGCGAGGCTCGTGCCAGATCTCAGCCTTCCAGGTACATTGGAATTGTGAACAACAACTTCAACGTGACACACTCCTTTTCCCAACCACCAATTCGCACGGATGCTTGTATAATGGCTGGTTTTCCGTCTCCTCAGGTCCTCAAATTACCGTTATTCATACTTCATAGTCGTGGCCCGTAGATTTCCTATTCCCTTCTCTCTAACACCATGGTCTCCAGGATTTCAACCTTCTGTTTGGTGGCAGCAAATGTTTTGATTCCAATCGCTATACTAATCTTTGCAAGCGGCTTCTTTCCTTATAAACCATTCTTGACGGGATTAGCCCAGTATGAGGCTCTCGAGTATGGGCCTCCGCCCGAGGCTCCCTTTGACAAGGTGATTTTCATGGTGGTAGATGCTCTTCGAAGGTACCGGTGGTTATCAAGATGAGAGATGGGCAATAGCTGACAAAAGTAGTGATTTTGTCTTCGGTGAGGAATCGGGATTCAAATTTACACAGAGGTGTGTCACCTTTTCCAATTGAGTAGAAGAAAAGGCTAACGAATCAATAGTTTAATTGCCTCTGGTGCTGCACTCCCATTTACTGCTCATGCCACCTCTCCTACCATTACGATGCCCAGAATCAAAGCCATTACCACAGGCTCCACGCCTTCTTTCCTCGACGTGATTCTCAACTTTGCAGAGTCCGATACCTCTTCCACTCTGGCTACACAGGACACATGGCTTGCGCAATTGAAGGCTAAAGGGGGTGGTAAAATGATCATGTATGGAGATGATACTTGGTTGAAGCTCTTTCCCGACTTTTTCGATCGGGCAGATGGGACTTCGAGTTTTTTTGTTGCGGTTAGTCTATGTTTGTTGGTTGTATATAGCAAATAGCTGAATTTATTTTGTTAGGATTTCACCGAAGTGGACAATAATGTTACGCGACATGTCCCTGAAGAATTGAAGAATGACGATTGGAATACCATGGTGCTACATTATCTTGGACTTGATCATATTGGGCACAAGGCAGGACCTCGAAGGTGATTCTAGACAAATCTAATCTTGAAGCAAATACTGACAAGTGAAAGTCCAAATATGATCCCAAAACAAAAAGAGATGGATGGCATTGTGTCCCAGATACATTCTGCAATGGAATCTACAGAGGCCCTTAAATCCACTCTTTTGATACTATGCGGGGATCATGGTATGAACGACGCTGGTAATCATGGTGGCTCAGCTCCTGGTGAAACTTCTCCGGCTCTTGTCTTCATATCTCCTAAGTTGAAAACTATCAACTCTGGATCACAAACACCGGCCACTTTTGAGGAAAACTTCCAATATTATTCAACTGTTGAGCAATCTGACATTGCCCCTACTTTGGGCGCACTTTTGGGGTTTCCTGTACCTCAAAACAACTTGGGGGCTTTTGTTCCAGCCTTTCTTCCTTTTTGGCCAAGTAGTAAGTGAATTTTCCCATGAATTTACCGAGAGGCTGCTGATCAACAACAGACAATGACAAAACCCAAATTCTATGGAGAAACGCCAGACAGATTCTGAATGTTGTTCAGGCTACGTTCCCATCATTTGAAGATGACGGTCCATCATCGAATTGCGAAAGATTGAGTAGCGATGTTGAAGAACTTGCATGCCAATGGAGAATCATTACCAAAACGAGGCCGAAAGCAGATGAAGACCGGAATACTGATTATTGGGTGGTTTTGATCACCAAGGTTTGTACAATCTGCTATTCATTGAGTCGAACGAGGCCATCAACTTACAAATTCATAGTGGCTTCAAAAGGCTTCCGAGTTGATGAGTAGTACGGCCAGCAATTACGATATGTCGAAGCTTATCACAGGTCAAGTTTTTGCCGGCACAGGTTTTCTTTTGGCATCTGTAGCTGCTGGCCCAACTATCTTCACATCCATCAAAGAAAGCACTCCATTTCTTCTCATCACGCTTCTTTATGGAATCATGATGTTTGCTAGTAGTTATGTTGAAGAAGAGCATCACTTCTGGTACTGGGCTACTACAGCTTGGCTTGTGTTACTCTGGATCAAAGGGTATGAAATTCCAACATGATAAGTGACATTGACTCACATCAATAGAAAACGCAAAACTTCATTTGGAACCCTCAACTCCCGTCTTCTTGACATAAACTCAATCTTGATACTCTTTGCAGCAAGAATCATAAAACGCTGGAATCAAACAGGCCAGAAATGGGCTGGTGAGCCAGATATAGCAAAGACTTTCTTTTTCGAACATCGAATGTTTTTCTGGTACTTGGTTGCTATCACGTATTTATGGATCCTCCAAGTCTTCGTCAGCAAAAGCTTTCCAAGATTTCCTCGACTTGGTGCAGGGGTCATTGCGACGGTGCTTGTCACCGCAGCAGTCTCATTCAAGCTTGCCTTTACGTATGAAGATTCGCCAGAAATCATGCCCGATTTGATCAAATCATTCGGTGGGAATGATAGCGGGGTTTCTTTGGTAACTCGTGCTAGAATCACATTCATGGCAATAGCCCTTGTCTTCGTCTACACGCTACTTACATCCTTCTCTCACAGCAAAAACCCCAATCGTAAGGTTCTCTTCTCTCTTCTAAATCATCCACCTCACTGACACACCCGCTCAGCAACATCTTTCACCCTCCACAACCTCCTAACCCTCTTCCTCGCCACCCAATCTCGCGCGACCAACATTCCCATACTGCTGTTATTCGAAATCCAACTCTACCTCCTCTCCACACAGCCCCTTTCCCTGGTGGAAATCACCACCACCAGTTTATTATTGCAACATACCTCATTCTTCGCAATGGGCGGCTCGAACGCAATTTCTAGCATCGATTTGAGCTCTGCATACAACGGAGTGAGTGGGTACAACGTCCTCGCAGTAGGAGTCCTAACCTTCCTATCAAATTGGACCGGTCCCGTGTTCTGGTCCAGCGGAACCATCCTCTTACTACTTAAACTCCGGGCCCGAACCACCAAATCTACCCTATCAAAATCCGATGCCAAAACCGAGGCAGGGGATGAAAGAGAAATAGGAGCGAATTTATACCACAAACACATCGCACTGAGAACTTTTTTTGTGACCGCTTCTCTGGTGGCTGTCATGGCTGCGTGTACAGCGCTGAGGACTCACCTGTTTATCTGGACGGTTTTCAGTCCGAAGTATCTTTATTGTATGTCTTGGTGCCTTGGGCAGCATTTGGTGGTTGATGTTGTGGTTTGTGGGGGCCTTTGGGTGATGGGGGG